TTTTATTATTGAATTTTGGAAATTTCCACAGCCTCGGGTCAGTGCAGAGTTCTCCTGGGGTCAGTGCCTGGCAGCACAGAAATCTGGAATTCTCAATAACCAGAGTTCCAACAGCAGGTGGAGGAATCCTTTCCAGAAGGAATAATTCCTTTTGTAGAGGTGTTTCCTGGAGCTCCCCACATTCAATTACAGCACCGTGGTGTAATTATTGCAAATTTTTAAATGTGGCACACAGAGCTTGCAAATTTAAACATGGCCCTAAAGAAATAAACCAACAGGAAAATATTTCGGAGAGTGCAGAGCCTGAATTTCAGCTTTTTCTCAGTGTGCTGGTTATGAAGATGAAGGTATTTCTCCCCAAGAGACATAAAAAATGTATTTCTGCGATAAACAATTATTTCTGTATTTTCTGGCTAAGTTAAAAACTTATTTCTGTGACAAACAATGTATTTCTGTATTTTCTGGCTACGTTAAAAATGTCTTTCTGTGACAAACAATGTATTTCTGTATTTTCTGGCTAAGTTAAAAACGCATTTCTGCGTCAAATTCATGTGATTTGTGTCTTTGCACGGATGAAAAGTTGGGTTTTTATTCCGTTTCTTCTCTCTCTGCCATGAAATGCATTTCCTGTCTGCAGATGAGCTGGAGGAGGCGTTCACAGAGCTGACTCACCTTGTCAAGGTCTACCTGGGCTTGGAGCCACCCGACTCTTTGGACCTTCAAGGCACCAAGGGCAGGGCAGGTAAAGTGGTTTTATCAGCAGAAAAGTCCTAATTATTGTGAATTTATTTACTGAAATCTGTAAATGATGCAGCTCGTGAGACCTGAAACATCCACGAGCTGTTCTGCCATGGCTCTCCCAGGATGACTCCTCCACGAGGATGGATTTGGGCTCAGATGGATTTTCCAACTCTCCTGAGGATGGTGTTGAGCTCTGGATGTTCTCCTGACATTTTTGGGCTCAGATGGAGTTTCCAACTCTCCTGAGAATGGTTTTGGGCTCTGGATGGTTTCCTGGCTCTTTTTTTGGGCTCAGACGGAGTTTCCTGATTCCTCTGAGGATGGATTTGAGCTCAGATGGAATTTCTGGACCCCTCTGAGGATGATTTTGGGCTCAGATGGAGTTTCCTGAT